ATCTCGCCTGGGTCCTAGGAATTATCAGATCCAGCATGTTTGTGTCCCTTTAGCTCGAATGGTGGAGGGCAATCATTTTCCACCACGGAGCTCCGGCCGATTGGCGCGCCCAGGGGCCGCTCGTCTTTCAAGGGGGGCGCGAGTCAGACTAGATGTCCGTGGGGATTCGAGAGCAGGGGACTGGGGACGTAAGGGTGCGTTGCAGCATCCTTGCTGGATCGTGGTTTGACTCCCCTTCCCGTTTTGGTGGAAGGAGGCGCGACGCCACCACCACCACCACCACCACCACCACCACCACCACCACCACCACCACCACCATCAGGGGGGCCATCCCCAGCGATGGGGTCCACGATGCCTCCCCGAACTGGGTATAGAGGATGCCTCGAGCGAGAGGGGGGGTCCACACCACCACGGGGACCCCCCAAGGCTCCCCTCGCTGGTGGTCCCTGGTGGTGGTGGTGGTGGTGTCGCGTTTTCTTGTTCCTACCCCTCCGTAGCTTCGGCTCAAGGGACTGGCTCCACGCGCCCCGTAGACATCACCCGAACCACCATCGGCGCCGATCTGCCCCCGCCGCGCCCATGGCGGCGAGGTCACCGAGACCGCCGCGGCCCCTTCGGGCAAGAGCACCGTTGCGCTCCACAGTGAACCCGCATGGTAATGATGGGCACCCTTTCCAAGAGTACCCTGCATTCTTGCCTCCTCGGTCCATCCTTGGCCACTTTCGTTAGCCGCGCCCCGCTCGAAGAGCTTCAAAATGACCTTCGAAGACCCTTGCATCCATATCGCGCGTCCGTATGATACGGGTTGACTGTATTTCAGCGCGCACTGGTGGCCGCCCTGCCGCGGCTTCACGCCCCAGCTCGCCAGTGTTGCGGGCCAGTCTTCTGCCAGCGACTCGATCGCGAGCACGTGTCGACCTGCCTGAGAAACCCGCGGCGGGAAGAATCAGCGCTGGCAGGGGGGACTCAGTACCGTGGGCACAAGGATTGCGGTTGCGTCGGACCTGGGGAGACCGGGGCGTTCGCTCGAGGCCGCGGACACTGCGGGGACGTCCCGGGAAAAGTCTTCCGCCAGGTTGCGCCGCAAGTTTTCCAGCAGCAGCGCGCGCGCGCCGTGTCGTATGCCGGATGGCCACCGGAGGTTTTGGCCGCTGGTTCTGGCGCGGGCGCGACCCACGTCCGCGCGGCGGCGTCGACGAGGCAGCCAGAGGAGCAGAGACTGGTCATGGAGGAGTGCGCCGCGCGGCGCCTCTGCGGCGTCGATGGGCGCATCGGCGGCCGCGCAGAAGCTTCCCATGGCCATTCGCCGCAAATCCATGCCCCCTTTCGGGCGAAGGGAACTCTGCACAACATGCACCGATCCTGACAACGTCCATCCTTGACCCAGGATCGGTGCATATACCTTCCTAGCCAAGGTAAGAGGGCGTATGCACCGATCCTGGGCTCAGGATGGGCCTGGCCAGAATCGGTGTATGTGCATAGTTCTCTTTCCTCTACCCTCGGGCCCCGCGGGCGCCCACGGGGCGCGCGCGGGGGCCGCCGGGCGACGCGCGCCCAAGCCCGTCCGATGCCGGTGGCAGCAGCGGCAGCGTGGAAGGGCACGGGGTTCACCGCGCGCGCCTCGGGCGCGGGGGGGGGGCGGCTTGTGCCAGGGGGGGGCGGGAGGAGGGAACGAGTAAAGATACGCTTTGAGGGGCCGTTGAGTGAGGGAGAAGGAGAATAGTTGAGGACGAGGGGAACGCGATGCCCCGTTCTTGGGGCACGCGCTACAAGGATATATGAACACGAGGGCGGTGATAGGAAGAAGGATGACGAGGAGGTGGGGGATAACGAGGAGGAGGATCGAGAGAATGGGTGCGAGAAGACGCTGGCGAAGAAAATCAAAGATGAGGAAGATGAATAACGGAGATAATCATGGGTGCGAAGAATAAGCGGAAGGAACAATTGTATATTCTGCGTGCCTATTGCGGCTATTTTCGTATAGACTCAACGGCTCGCGCCTAGACAATTTTGGCGCACGCGTCCGCCGCAGGCGTGCTCATGTACTCGTGCATGATGATGTACGTGTGTCATCATACAGCTGTTCCAGGCGCGGGCTATCCTTGTACAGTTCTCAGGGGCACAGTCGAAGCCTGCTTTTATTCCAGCTGGTCGGCTGTCTCCATTCAAAGCTCACATGTGTAATTCAACATTGGATGATGGGAAACATCCGTTGCAGACTCTGCGTGTGCCGTTCATTTCGTTAATTGAAACGCGATTCAGCCAACCAAAGCTCTCAATCATTCAACATTGTAGATTCTGCGCCTGCCGGCTGCGAGCAAACCAACTTAGACGATCGCGCCCTGTTCGGCGGACAAAGCAGTCGCCTGGCCACCAGACAGTTTTCGCGGGCAAGCGCCGCACCTTACCACTTCGTGCTCGTCCAGCTTCTTGGCGCGAATCGAATTCGCCTCGGTTGTTGACGGCCTCGGTTTCGCCAGCCCTTGCTCCTGGCATCGCTCGGACGTGTGCATCCTGGACCATCGAGCAAAAGAAACACGCACAAAATTGTCAAATGCATGGGAAATGGACGTCCGGGCGACGGCAAGTGTTCCGCCACAGCTTGCTTTGGCTTGCTCGCGCCTCGAGCGCGCACTGCACCCCTCGGTGCCCTCCTGACTGACTCTTTTTTGCTGCGCGAGTGGCCCTCGACGTCGGTCTTCTTCGCGCCGTACATCCGCGCAGAACGTGTTGTAGCGTTCGAAGGCTACGTTGAAACATTGAACTTCATTGCCATGACATCGTGGAGGACTATCCATGGAGAGGAAGCATTTTGCCAAAGAATATCCAGATGTCTAAAACATGTGTTAAACATTAAACCATGTTTAAACCATGTTTAATACATGCTGAGAACATTGTCAGAGATTTTAAACTAGGGTGTCCACTGTCGTGGCATCCACAACCATAGCAGAGACCACCCCAGGACTGGCGCCCAAGTCTCCATCCAGCCTGGAATAGCCTCCAAGTGTTCAGCAGGATGCGGTACTTCGTGACATCTTGAAGACAGTTGACGTCATTGTTGCCGAACCTCATCGGCAGGGTCGGCCGCGCACGAGAGGAGCCTGCAGACAAGAAACAGTCACCACCGACACTCGGGTAAAAGTCATCACGTAGCACCTGAACACGTGGCCATTCGGGAACATGCAGACTCCAAGGGACAGCTGGTCCCTCTCCTCTGGGGCAGCCGTCGTCCTGACCCCTGGTCAGACTCAGGGCGCCTCCTTCCAGGGGCCAGGCACCGACGGCATCGGTTGCGACCGCCTGTTGTGCCCATGCTTTCGCGATTATGCTCTCGCGACCACGGTCCTGCTCAGCCTCTGCTGTAGCGGACGGGTCTCGCGCGATCCCTATTGGACGGCAGAAGTGTTTTCCGGCGAAGTCGATAATTACCTTCCGCTCATCACGCCCATCATCCTCAGCACCGCCCCTTCCCAGCAGCAGCAGCAGCAGCAGCAGCAGCAACGACAAAAACAGTAGGAGCAGCAACGACACCAGTTAGCACCAATAGCTTCATCGTCATCATCAGCATTGTCAGCGGCGGCGCTGCCCAGCCTCCACGCCTGAGCTGCTATTAGGGCGCCCTGCCGGGTTTATTATGCCGCGTCTGCCGGGGGGTCGGCGGGAGCTCGGCTCTGCACGAACGACATGGGCACGGAAAGAATGGGTACAATGCCCAACAGGGGATCTTGTTCATTTTGAACAGGACTCGCTGTCCACGCCGCCGCCGCCGCTGCCTGTCCACGTCGCCGCCGCTGTCCATTTCGGGCGTCCAACTCGGCGGGGGTGGGGCCTGGGCGTTCCCTGGCTTGGCCAGGACGACGGCGTCCGCCTTCTTCGCGCCCAAGGACAAGGCGCCGACCGCGCCCTGCGAGGCGGAGGGGGGGGGGAGGAGGGAAAGAGAGGAGGAGGAGGAAAAGAGGGGGAGGAGGAGGAAAAGAGGAGGAGAAGGAGGAGGAGCATCGATTTCCACACAGCAGGATGACCCCATCTCGAGCCTTGCTGTGTCCAGTCCAGCTCTCTCTCTCTCTCTCGCCTGTTGCTGTGCCTGTTGCCCGTACACGCGTTTCGCGTCTGTTTTCAAGGGCTCCCTCGAGAGCGCGAAGTTATTCGCGCTTCGCGCTTCGCGGTCCTCGTTCCTTCTCCCCCTCCTCCTCGTCCTCCTCTTCTCCCTCTGGGGGGGCGGCGCGAGAGCGCGAAGTTATTCGCGCTTCGCGCTTCGCGCAGCGCGAAGCGCGAAGTTGGGAGCCCTAGTGTTTTCGCCCTTCTTTGTCCTTCAGAGTTACCTGCCGCATGGGGGCGCCCCCCCCCCCAGCCTTCTCGCGCGGCCCTCGCCTCGCTGGGAACATCTGGTTGCTATTCCGATCGTTCGTCCCCCTCCCCCCCTCTTGGAGCTGCCTGCCGCACGAGGTGCTCCCCGTCCTGCTCGAGCGGCTGTCGATCGCATTGGCTCCCCTCCCGCTCACACCTCGCCCAGAGCATCTGATCGGACCTCCTCCTCCCCTCCCCATCCTCCCAGCGGGAGGAGGATCGATTTCTGGACTTCCGGAGTCCTCCAGGGATGCCGCTCCGTCTTCCGTCCATCCATCCCTCCTTCCCCCCCTCCCTCCCTCCGCCGTCCCCTTCGTCCCCGCCCCGTTTCCCCGCTCTTTGGCCGCCTCACTTGCCTCCCCTCTCCTTCTTGTCACTCTCCTCATCCTCGCTGCCCCTCCCCTCCTCACCACGTGAGAAATGAAACTGCTGGACAAAAACTACTCGCTGTCCCTCCCCTCGTCGGCTTCCCCATTCCTCCCCGTCCCACCCCCGTCCTCCTCCCCCCCCCTCCACACCGTCCTCGTCGTTCTCCCCCCCCCGCGCCCGCATTTCCTGCTCTGCCCTCCCTCCGACTCCCCCCCCCCGGCCCGAGATTTCGGAGGGCACCGTTTTTGTAGAGGCCGGATGCCGTCCGGGGCGGGCGCCGCGCCATGCCGCCGCCGCCGCCGGACTCGGCCTCCGCGCTCGCGGCGGCCGCGTGCTTCGTGCTGCACGGCGCGAACGCGACCAGGCGCGCCGCGCCCTCGCGCCCCCGCGCGGCTCATCGCGGCCGGTGGCAGCTCGTGAAAAGTCCGCCTGGAAACGGCGAAGAATGTCGGAGGTGGAGGAGGTACCCAGACCTCTAGCCCCTCGCCCGTGTTCCCCTGCGTGGGCCTCCTGTGGAGGCCCTCGCCGCCACCGCTGGCGTCGCCTGGGAGCCCTGGTCAGAGCGCACCCGCCGGGGAGAGGTCCGGGGAGTGGCGGTGTCGGTACCTCGGTGGCCTCCTCGGCTGGATTCAACAGGGGGTCATAGGCTGTGGGGAGAGAGGATGGTAGTGTTCAGATTGAGTTATTTTTGAGGAGAGGAGGAGGGGGAGGAGGAGGAGGAGGAGGAGGAGGAGGAGGAGGAGGAGGGGGAGGAGGAGGAGGAGGAGGAGAATCGGCGGGTGGTCTCCGGCCCACGGCTGCAGCCTGTTGTCTCGGCCGCGCCAGGACGGGTCCCGGTGGCTGCCAGGGTCGCCGCCGGGAGGGCCCCCGGTGAGGGCTCCCCGGAGCAGCCGGCCCCCTGCAGTGTTCAGGGCGCGCCGGGCGGGGGTGCGGTCGCAGTGGGTGCGGACAGAGTGGGCTTATGTCGGGCCTGTCCCCCTACAGGGGGATCTTCGACAAGAAATGAAACATGTCCCAAAAAGAATAGAACGTCATCCAAAATAGTCCAGGGACTATGTTCTGAGTATTTTGTTACCTTTCTGGGGTATTTTTGGGGTATTTTTTATTTTCCGTCGAAAATGCCGATGTAGGGGGAGGGGCCCGACATAAGAGTGGGCACGGAAAGAGCGAGCACGAAGGTTGGCAGCACGTCTTGCCAGTTCTGTTGAGCGGGGTTCGCTGTCGATGCCGCCCGGCGTTGTCCATGCGAGGCAGAGGGCGGCGTGGCCAGCAGCGGGCGCTGCCGGTTATGGATAGCATGTCCTGTTGGGCATCGTACCCTGTTGTTTCGAACCCATGTTCGGAATTTTGGAGCATATACATGGCCAGTGGCGGACTGTCTTTGAATCGCAGGACTTTTGAAGGGTCGGGGACGACGTCGGGGTGGTGTGGTGTATACTAGTTTCCCTCCCCCTTTTCCGGGGAAAGAGCGAAACAGGCATACACCAGGATCCCGTATACACCAGGATAGTTAAGAATTGGTAAACACAGTCTGCGGACAATGTTTAGACTATTTCTAAATATTTTAGACTGACTGCTTTTCATTGTTCTTCCAAAATCCGCCTGCTGGAGAACATGCCCGACCTAACACCAGGATCCACTTTTCCTGTGCGAATTGCAGTGCGGCGGGCCAGAAAAAGCGTCGGTGTATATATATATATATATATATATATACATATATATATATAGAGAGAGAGAGAGAGAGAGAGTTCTCTTGCTCACATCTCGGCGTCCAGAACGATTGCACGTACAGGATCCTGTCCGCCCCAGGTCCGCTGCTACGGCTCGGGCTGGCAGGCGGTCTTGCGTGCACGACGAGAAGAAAACGCGATGGTCTTTTCCAGCCACGCAAATCCCGCGATGCGAGGCGACCAGGCTCTCCAGCCCCGCCCAAGTGTCGCGGGGGGGGGAACACACAGACACAAAGAAACGTGGACTCCTAGGAAAATATTCGAAAATATGGGGGGCCTGGGTGGGAAGCCGAGAGCCCGGATATCGGAAACTATGGGGACATTTTGGGATTTGTGACTATTCATGTGTGTGTGTGTTCTTGGGCCCATCCACCCAAAATTGTTCCCCGGACGTCTCCCGAGCTCCATCCTGGCCCCTTCCTGTCGGAGTCCACGCACGGTTTTGGACTTGGATGATTCTCCGGTGGCGTCTCGGGCGACGCGGGCCTCCCGGGGCCCCAAGACCTTGCATTGCGGGTTTCGCCCGGTGAGGGGCCCTTGGGATTTCAACGTCATCGTGCGGTCTGTCACCACACGGTTTTGGGTTTGGGGGCCCCCAATTTTGTTTTGAAAGCCTCTTGTCCGAAGAGGAAAAAGCACACAGACACAATTAGTCGGGTCAGTATGGAACATGTGCGGAAGACAAAAGCATAGAACATATGAGACAATGTGGGGAATCCTGGGATGTGCGCGCGTACAGAACTGTATGCCCCTGGGCCCCTCCATCCTGGGGGCCCAGGGAGGACCAAAAGTGCAAGGGGGGGCCAGCGGTGTCTCGCCTGTCCCCACCCCCGAGGGGACGCACCCTCGACCGTGCCTGCGTATATCAGGAGGAAAAGAAACACACAGACACAATGAATCGTCGATTCCCCAGAAAATGTGAGAAAATATGGGAAGTGGGCGGGAAGACAGAAACCCAGAAAATATGGGAAAATATGGGGAATCTTTTTATTTGTGTGTATTTATTTGTGTGTCCCAGGGCCCCTTCAGTATACTTCTGTCCAGCCCCCCCCCCGGCCTCCTCCGAGGTGTGCTCTTCTCCATCCGCGGAGGTGGCCCCCCTCGCCCCGGAGCAGTGCACGGATATGGGCCCCGGGGCCCGAGAGCTGGCCCCTCGCAGGGCAGAGGTCGGGGGCGGCAAAGAGGGGGGTGATATGATCGGGGGGGGGGGATCTCATGGCGTGGGCCACGATCGTTCCTCGGCTTTCGTGGTGCCCCCCCTCTGCTTTCATGACGTGCCTGCCCCCCCGCTGGGCCGCACACGTGCCGCCGGCCACGATTTGCGCCCCCCCCCCCCCCCCTCTTGGACGCCCCCCTCTTGACCCCCCAGGGCAGAGGGATCGAGGCATGGCGCTCGGCGTGGACACAGGAGCCACGCCGGCAGCGAGCCGGGGCCGCTCGCCCCTCCTCGGCCCCCTGCGGGCCGCGCAGGATAGCGCTCGGCCACCACCCGGTCGGCGAGGTGAAGGGCTGGTGGCCGGTGTGGAGCTTCCTGTTCCTGTCGGCGCAGGACGGGCGTTGGAGTCGGCACGAACGAATTTAGGGGAACAGAAAGTGACATAAGCATAAAAACTCGGAGGTCCGCGCGGATTTCTCCGATCGGCGCTGGGGCCCCCCGGCGGCACCTCCGGCGCCGCCCCTGGCGCGCTCCGCGCGCCAGGGAGGGGGGTCCAGCGCCGATCCGAGGAATCCGCGCGGATCTCCGAGTTGCTCCGAGTTTATATGTTTATGCCACTTTTTGTTCCCCTAGAATCAAATGGGTACGGAAAGAATGGGCACAGTGCCCAACAGCAGTTCCTGTTCCATTTAGGCGGGATTCGCCGTCCACGCCGCCGCGGCCCGTGTCCATTCTAGGCAGAAGACCGCCTGCCCAACAGCGGCCGCTGTTGGTCTGGGACAGCATTTGTTGTTGGGCATTGTACCCATTTTTTCCGAACCCATTTCGGGCGTCCAAGTGGAGGGGGGGGCTGCCCCCCGCGGGCGGTCGACGGGCGCCGAGGGCGGCGATGGCCACCTCGACGACGACGGCCAGACCAACGAGTCAGGCCTCCCAGATGGGGTCCGAGTAGATGGGGTCGAAGTGTCGCTCCGCATCGCCGATGCATCGGCGATGCGGCTCGATGTGGATCCCCAGGTCCTCCACGCCGACCGGCGCAGGCGCACTGCCGACGTCGCCGACGCATCGCCGATGCATTTGCGATGCGGCGCGATCCTCCATCCCCACCCAGTCGCACCCCATTTGAGAGGCCTCCGCAGTCCGAAGAAGAAGCACTCGGCGGCCAGCGAGGGGGGGCAATGAGAAGGCGAAGGTCTTCTCAGAAGCCGCAAGGGCTTCTGAGAATCAGGAGGGGAAGAAACACACAGACACAATTAATCGGCGATTCCCAGAAAATATGGGAAAATATGGGAAGTGGGGGGGAAGACAGAAACCCAAAAAATATGGGAAAATATGGGGGATTATTTTATTTGTGTGTATTTATTTGTGTGTCCCAGGGCCCCTTCACAGAAGCCCTTCTCCTTCTTCTTTCCCCGCCTCGCCCGCCGCCGAGACACGACATGAAATATTTGCACCCTCGGAGCTCCGCGCGGATCTCGGCGCTGCCCCCATGGCGAGCTCCGCGCGCCAGGGAGGGGGGGGTCCAACGCAGGTCCGAGAAAGAGATGCGCAGACCTACGAAGTCTCTGCAAGGGCGCCCTCGAGGGCGCGAAGTTATTCGCGCTTCGCGCTTCGCGGTTCGGCTCCGATTCCTCATCCTCCTCTTCTCCCCTGGGAGGCGGCGCGAGAGCGCGAAGTTACTCGCACTTCGCGCTTCGCGCAGCGCGAAGCGCGAAGCTGGGAGCCCTTGCTCTGTGCAGTTGCGTCTTCGTCAGCGTGCAGATCTTGCTCGTGCACCGTCTCTGCACCCCCGCTCTGGTCCTAATCAGTCCTTCTCGCTCCTGTGCTCACGTCGGCCCCCCTTCGCACTCCCCCTCACCAGGGGAACAAAGAGTGACATAGACATAAACACTCGGAGGTCCGCGCGGATTTTCTCGGATCGGCGCTGAACCCCTTCCCTGGCGCTCGGAGCGCGCCATGGCGCGGTCCGAGCGCCAGGGAGGGGCGGGGGCGGAGGCGCCGCCGGGGGGGCCCCAGCGCCGATCCGAGAAATCCGCGCCGATCCGAGAAATCCGCGCCCGGGAGGGGGCTCAGTGCCGATTCGAGAAGTCCGGGCGGGCCTCTGAGTGTTTATGTTTATGCCACTGTTTGTTCCCCCACTCTTTCAGGAGGAAAAGAAACACACAGACACAATTAATCCTCGGTTCCCCAGAAAATATGGGAAAATATGGGAAGTGGGGGGGAAGCCAAAAACCCAGAAAATATGGGAAAATATGGGGAATCTTTTTATTTGTGTGTATTTATTTGTGTGTCCCAGTTTCCCTTCACTCACGGCTGCCCCGTGCAGTGCAGCTCTGTGTGGGTGAAGCTTGCACGCCCTGCTGCCGCTGAGCTGGGCCTGGCGCGCACTCGCCGCTTCCATCCCCATCCCCTTGACTGACTGACTCTTCTGCGCTGCTGCGCGCATGGCCGCACGCATATGCGCCCCTTTCCCTTCCCTCTGTCGCCGTCGTTCCGTCTTCCTCTCGGCCCTGCCAGTGCTTGAGCTGCGGTGCCGTCCACGATCTGCTCGCGACGACTGCCAGGTCTGGTGCATGGCTCTCGCCCGGTGTTGTTTACTCTGCTCGCTCTGGGCGGACAAGGCCTTTGCTCGAGCGCCGCAGCCCCTGAGTTCCAGCGTCCGAGCTCGCAAATGAAGTTTTCATAGGGCGAGCCACTCTCAGTGGATGATTACCTGTTGTTGCCCTTCCGTGTATCATTGCATTGCATCTGTTACTATCGGCTGGGCGGCCGTCACATCTCTGCATCCGACAGGTTGGGTGAGTGAAATTTGGAGGAAAGGCCCGCGCGCCAGCCTGGCATGCCGCGGCGGCCAGTCCCAAATAATCACACGTGGTCCCTGGTTCGAAGACGAGCAAACTTATCCTGGCGAAGGACCAAACCAGATGCAGTTGTGAGTGCCGTCGTTGCGGGTATCGCCTTCGGGGGATCTCCTCATGGAGCCATCAAGCATGCGAAGGGTGTGCCGATGAGGGGCGGGGCCGCCATGTGGGCGCTGCCACTGGTGTTTTTAGGCGGAACGCGCTACGGGGCAACGAAAAGTGTGGCGCATGCAGGCGGTGGCATTGGGGCCTTCGATGGGGCTCCCTGCGGGGCCACGAAACGTGTGAGGGGTGTGCCGAAATGGGTGCGATGACCGCGTGCGGACGCTGGCATGTGGGCCTTCGGCGGGGCTCCCTCTGGGGCCACGAAACGTGTGAGGGGTGTGCCAACATGGGCGCGGTGACCGCATGCGAACGCTGGCAGTTGGGCCTGCGGTGGGGCTGCCTATGGGGCCACGAAACGTGTGAGGGGTGCCAGGATGGGTGCGTTGACCGCGCGCGAACGCTGGCATTTAGGCCTTTCGTAGGGGGTCCCTATGGGGCCACGAAACGTGTGAGGGGTGTGCCAAAATGGGTGCGGTGACTGCATGCGAACGCTGACAGTTGGTCCTCCAATGGGGCTGCTTATGTGGCCACGAAACGTGTGATGGGTGTGCCAAAATGGGCGCGGTCACCGCAAGGGAACGCTGACAGTGTGGCCTTCGGTGGGGCTACCTATGGGGCCACGAAACGTGTGAGGGGTATGCCAAAATGGGTGCGGTGACCGCATGCGAACGCTGGCATTGGGGCCTTCCGCCAGGGGTCTCGATGGGGCCACGGAACGTGTGAGGGGTGTGCTAAAATGGGTGCGGTGACTGCATGCGAACGCTGGCATTTGGGCCCTCGGTGGGGCTCCCCATGGGGCCACGAAACGTGTGAGGGGTGTGCCAAAATGGGTGCGGTGATCGCATGCGAACGCTGGCATTTCGGTTTTCCAGTGCGGCTCCCTATGGGGCCACGAAGCGTGCGAAGGCTATGCCCAAATGGGAGTGGTTACCGCATGCGAACGCTGGCATTTGGGCCTTCGGTGGGGCTGCCTAGGGGGCAAGGGAACGTTTGAGGGTTATACCAAATTGGGTGCGGTGACCGCATGGGCGCTGGCATTTGGGCCCTCGGTGGGGCTCCCCATGGGGCCACGGAACGTGTGAGGGGTGTGCCAAAATGGGTGCGTTGACCACATGCGAACGCTGGAATGTGGGCCTTCTGTGGAGCCCCCTATAGAGCCACGAAGCGTGTGAGGGGTGAGCCAAAGTGTGAGGGGGTGACGGGAGGAGGGAGGAGGAGGGAGAGGAGGAAGGCAGGAGAGGAACGCGGGGACGGTCTCTTCAAAACGAGGATCCAACACCACAGGATGGTTGGGAAAAACCATAGACGGAAACATTTGGCGCTCCGCACGGATCTTTTGGATCCGCGCTTGCCCTCCCTGGCAGCGCGTCCGGCGCCGCACTTGCCGCGCTCCGCGCGCCAGGGAGGGGGATCCAGCGCAGATCCAGGAAATCCGCGCGGAGCGCCAAAGGATTATGTCAGAGTGAGGGGACCGAACGGTCATTCATTGTTGCTGGGTGCGTGCCTGAAGTCAAGAAGATTCGTGGTGAAGATTCTGTTTGTTGCGTTGTTGTTATTGTTGTTGCTGTTGTTGTTGTTGTTGAATATTATTACTTCTAAAGAATAATTATTGTTGGGCCCCCTGGTGCACGCCCCCCTCGCCGCGCCTAGGCCGCAGCCACGTTTTCATAATTTTCGTGAGGAAGTCTCAGTCAAAACGATGTCATCCAGATCCGGTTGTTTTGTTGACGCCCGCTTTCCCTTGCAAAAAATAAGCTCAAGTGGACATTTCTTGTTCTAACATAACCAAACTTCAAGAATCCCTTGCAAAAAATAAGGTAAAGTGGACATTTGCGCGCGCACGGCGAAATCCTTCCAAAACCTTAGTGTTCGTAGCGATTTTAACATAAAAACATCAAAAAACCAATGGTTTTTCAAAAAAAAATGTCAAAATTTCATCCCGCGCGCTGTTGCGGATTTGTAGGAAACCCAACAATTTTTAAACATTTCTGTCAAACGGGCTTTTGCGAGCAACTTTTTCGAACTTCTGCAACAACGGTTGCGCACCTGCCAGGGCCATCATCCCTGTCAAATAATACCATGCGGGACACATTCGTTTTTTCTTCGCGCGCGCACGCCGTCGTCGTCGGCCGCGGGGCCCTGAATAGTAGCCACGGTCGTCCGCATGCCACGAAGTGAAGTGTCCGAACGTCATAGGGCGGGAAGCTGGGTGTGGGTGGTGGCGAAGAGTCGTTTGGAAATTTGGTAGAGCTTGAACCGGCCCCCCCACAAAGTGGGGGTATTGCCCGCCTCCTATGAAAACCCTGGCACTGGTGAGAACGGAGTGTCCCCACGTGCTAGTAATTGTTGTTGTTGTTGTTGATGGACACGTGCACTGACGACCCGCACGCCCCCCCCCCCTGGGGTCCCGACGGGGCCACCGCAGGG